GATGTACGGTACAGCAGCAGAATTCCCCAGGCTGGCTGGGGAATTCTGGGAGTTGAAGTCCACAGAGTTGCTGAGGCTGAGAAACACTGATCTGTATCATTAGAGTTCCAATATTCCTTGAAAGCCTGACAGCATTTCCCCTTCCATCTCTCTTACGCCAAAGAGAGCCAAGGCCAGCCATCTTGAGTTTCTTTCTCACACTTTCTTCCATTCCTGAGCTTAATTTGTGTTTTGCTATTTCAACTCCCAGAATTCCCCAGGCTGGCTAGGGAATTCTGGGAGTTGAAGTCCACAGAGTTGCTGAGGTTGAGAAACACTGACCTATATCAATAAAGTAGAGTTCCAATATTCCTTGAAAGCCTGACAGCATTTCTCCTTCCATCTATCTTACGCCAAAGAGAGTCAAGGCCAGCCATCTTGAGTTTCTTTCTCACACTTTCTTCCATTCCTGAGCTTAATTTGTGTTTTGCTAACCATCTCAGTATTTGTTCTCCAAGGTCACCTCTGTATTTCTCCCTACAACAATACAGGAGCATTGCTGGAAACCCTGCACCGTCTCTTTCTTAGCTTGGCCTAATTTGAAGGGCTGACATCAATCTTAAAAGAGCAGAAGTCACCACCCTCCAGCTGAGCAAGAGAGATATTGCGTTACGAGTACGATTTCTAAATCTGCCTTTCGACATCTAAATTATCAGCTGGCGAAACAGAACCACAAAGACACCAAAGGGAAGATTTGGAAAACTCCAAGAAGTTTTCTTTGGCTGTGGGGGGCGGGCGGACGACAACAGGAGAAAATCTCACAGCAAAACAGCCCAAGAAAACCTGGGCATGCTCAGAGGGCCAGGGTGACAGAAGAGGATAATGGTCTGACTAGCTGGAATGGAGTGTCTTCAGAAAGGGCACGGATGGTGGACTCGAAATGCTTCAGAAAAGAAGGCTTTCAAGCCGTAACATCAACAGCCTACAAACATTATTCTGGAAGGAAATGAGCAAGTTGTAATGGTATGTGGGAATGACCTTGGGAGACAGGAGGAAGAGCTGCAGACGAGACAACCGGCGTGTAAAAGGTGTCTCAGCCCACAGAAGGAAAAGGGGCGTGGG